CCCCCCCCCCCCCCCCTTCCTGCACCACACCAGGCCACATGCCCTTGACATTGTGAGGGTGCTTTGACAGAGGGAACCTATGGGTGGTTATTATTGTGAATAACCCCTTTAGTCTAATGATAGCACCAAAACAACATCTAAGCGTCCAAAATCAGTTGTGTTCCTTGGACCGACACATCCTCCTTCTTCAGGGCTATACCAACAGACATGAAAAGGAATACATGAGTAAAATGTAGAAAATGTATTGGTCCATCTACATTTAAAACTTGTGTATATCTAGACAAAACTCATGCAGCATGGAACACCCTAAAGACATATCTGATGGTTACCAGCAGGGCCGGACTGGGACAAAAAATAGGCCCGTCCATTTTAGACTGAGCAGCCCAATCATGTGACCCCCGAAGGCCCAGCCCAAATGCAGGGGCCTGGTCAAACACCGAACTGCAATCAAGGGGAGGGGCCAGTCGCTGGGAAGTACAGGATGGCTACACCCGACACATAAGCCTTCCTATAAACCTTGTCACAATATACAAACCTTGCAACAACCAACATGTGGGTCTCGCCAGGGTTGTGCGGCCTCTCCATGGCTGCGTGAGGGTCTCACCAGGTTTGTATGTGCGTCTTGCCAGGGGTGTGTGCAGATCTCTCCATGACTGTACGTTCTCACCAGGGCTGTGTACAGTTTGTAAGAGGCAGTGGGCTCTGTAATCAGGCAGGTACTCGCTGGGGCCTTGGCCGTATAATGTGCCTGTAGTGCATGCTCTCCCCCATCTTTGTGCCAGTAAATAGCCGCACTATTCTGCTGCTGGTGTGTACCTCCAAGCTCGTACCCTGGTTCAGCCGCACTGGAAGTATGGCAGCCACTGGAGTAAACAATCTTGGGCTCTCTTCTCAAGCCTGGTGTTCTCCGGCCGCACAACCACCACACCCCACCCCGTGTCCTCCGGCGGCCCTTGGGCAGCTGCCTGATAGTGCTGATCGCTCATAGCAGTTCATCATGGCACAGCGGGCTGGGCCGAGCTGAATACAATCAGGCTGATTGTATGCCCAAAGCCCAGTCCAGGCTTTGGGCATACACTCAGCCTGATGGTCTTACTGGAAGCTATTGCATATATTCGTTCCATATGAGAACATGATAAGAAAGCTTACTAAGCTCGTCCTGTCTTTTTTTCGCGTGTCTTCTTCCGACTAGTTATGTAGACAGGAAGGTGATCCTCATTGTGTTGTTTTGCGGAAGCTACAATGGGAACGTTTTCTGCAGGAAAGTAAAGGGGTAGAACACATAGTGGGGCATAGCCAGACATTTTGTGTATTTAGACCTAGATTTTTTTTTGTAATAAAACAAATATGTAAATATAATAAAGCAATCATTGTGTACAATAAAAAATATCATCTTCTTTGAGTTTATATAACCGGGTTCCTAATAAAAGGACTGTTCTGTATTCAGGATCCACAGGGGAACCGCCTCGCTCAATGGAAAGACGTTGCTCCAAAGTCTGGCATAGCAGAGATGTCCTACCAGCTGGCGAAAGAACCTAATTTTGGAAAATATACACTAAGGGTTAATGGTGTTACAAGGGAGATTGAAGTGCAAGCATATGGTAAGAGGCAGAAACTTTATATCATTATTTACATAAGAGTGACATGCTGTGGAGGATACAGACCTATAAGCGGAACCCTTTAAATAGATATAGGGCTGAAAGTGTATCTGAAGCAAAAACATCCCCCCAGTTTATTTGTTTTTAAGAAACCTATAAATACCTTTTTTCTTGGTGTCCCAGAAGCTTCATCTTCTTACAGCTGGGGGGGCATTGTTCCAGTACTGAGTATGTAATGACTGTGAGCCCTGCCTGTCAAATGATGCACCCTCTAGGAGGGGTGTAAATGAAAGGCTGTGCACACAGGAAATGGGTAGAATGAATGGGGTGTTCTGCCCTGAAGAGGACCTCTGGTGTTGTACCACGGAAAAAGTTGGGCACAATGCTGGAGCATGAAGAAGGTACGTGACGATTGCAATATTTATTTTTATACAGGAGGGGTGATCTACAACTCCAATTCCAAAAAAAGTTGGGACGCTGTGTAAAATCTACATAAAAACAGAATGCAATGATTTGCAACTCTCATAAATCTGAATTTTATTCACAATAAGTGAGAAAATGGACCATTTTAGGCAAAAAATAAGGTAACTTTAAAAATTGATGGCAGCAAAACTTCTCAAAAAATTAAGGGCAACAAAAAGCCAGCAAAGTAAGTAGTACTAACGACAGATAGTGGACAGATCGCAACGCCATTCAAAAATGCAAGTTAAAGCTCTATCTAGCCATTACTGCACATGATCCAGGAACGCCGCCATCTTCTCTGGGCCAAAGCTCATTTACAATAGTCTGTCACAAAGTGGAAAACTGTTCTAAATTTGATATTCTTTTTGACAACAGTGGGCTCCGCGTCCTCCAGACTAAACAGGAGAGGGACCTTCTGGCTTGTAATCAGCGATCAGTTAAAAAATCTGCATCTCTGATGGTATGAGGGTGTCTTAGTGCGTACGGAATGGGCAGCTTGCACATCTGGAAAGGCACCACCAATGCTGAAAGATATATCCAGGTTTTAGAGCAGCGTGTGCTCCCATCCAGATGATGTCTGTATCAGGGAAGGCCTTTTATATATTTCAGCAGGACAATGCTAAACCACATATTGCATCTATGTCCGGGTGTCCGGGTGCTTAACTGGCCTGCCTGCAGTCCAGACCTTTCAACAACTGAAAATATTTGGCGCATCTTGAAACAAAAAATATGACAAAGAAGACCCGGGACTGTTGAGCAGTTAGAATCCGATATCAGGCAAGAATGGGACAAAATTCCTCTCCCAAAACCCCAGCAACCGGTCTCCTCAGTTCCTAGATGTTTATAGAGGAGCCATGCTACACCGGGGTATCCATGGCCCTGTCCCAACTTTTTTGAGATGTGTTGCTGCCATCAATTTTAAAATTACTTTTTTTTTTCCTTAAAAAGGTCCATTTCCTCAGTCTAAACATTTGATACATTTTCTATTGTAAATAAAATATGGCTTTATGAGATTTGCAAATCATTGCATTCTGTTTTCATGTAGTCCCAACGTTTTTGGAATTGGGGTTATATAAATTAAAATACAATTTATGGAGCTTCACTTTAAAAACATTGTTATTTTTTGTGTCTGTGTCGTATTAGGGATCATTGGCTTTCTTAGATACAACAGAACCTAAAGGAAAATCTCTTCTAAATAAGTTGTCACCAGAACTGGTGTCCCCATTGGAAGTTTTCCCCTCTATTGCTGTACTGGTGACAACTCGGATTTCCCCTAAACTTTCAGTCCTGGTAACGATTCCCCGGGATTATTCATTATAAGAAAACAATGTTCAGTTCCATCACACGGAATGCAAACTTTCCATCTGTATATCACTGTAATCATTCCAAATTGCTGATTTTTCAATAAAACAATGATGTGATTGTCAGCATGTCTTCCCAAGTCTAATGCTGCTTTATCTTTGTATGGCGCCATCTAATATAAAGCACATTCACATCACAGTGTAAATTGCCATATTAGGTGGTACGTTTGATGTTTTGGAGCATAGCTCCATTTCACTGCTCTATCAATATGGGCGCTACTGCCATGAAGTGGCTTGCTTGTATTCATTGCTAGTGCGGCAGTCCTTCGCATCCCTCTATGGGTGTCCTGTGCGAGGTTCACAGCATAGCCATCCAAGTGATCTGGCCCTTTCAGGTGAACGAGCCTATGTGTTTTGTCCATGACTTCAGTAGACTTCATCAGAATGGGGAAGGGCCAATGTTATGTGACTTAAGGAGGTAAAAGTCTAATATTTCCTCATTAGAAAGTAATCTATTATTACTCTCCCCTGTTTCAAGGTGTTTCAAGTTGAAAATCTCTTCATGTCCATTAGAGTTAGGGTCCAAGAGATGATATGTGGGATGTATCTCCCTCTGCTCCTTCTCCTTATGTCCTATACACATCACAATATGGCTGTATTGCTGCCTGTGGCCCTGTTTAAGAAATGTTTCAAACATAAAAATGATTTAGCTCAAGTTGGGTGTCTATAAAATTCTCCTGATTAGGGATGGTCTGAGTGTACGAATCGAACATCGGCCGTGAGAGTGTTCGCCGAACGCCAAACTTTATGGGACGTTCGCGGTTTGATTGAATGCCTTCCGAAGCTCTAATTGGTTCAAGTCTTGCACCTGATCACAGGTCAGGTGCAAGACTTTGCCCAATCAGGGCTCAGTATTGAATTAGAGCCCTGATTGGGCAAAGTCATGATGACTCTGCCCAATCATGGCTCGCCTATCAGATGCTGGTAAACTACACAGTTGGCGGAGCAAGCTGTCACCGCTAGCTCCGCCCAATTCTTTATGTTTTGCTGCCATCTGTGAAAATGCCATTATGCAGCGGACGGGACGGCGGACGGCGGGTTTTTTAAAAATTATTTCTATTTATTTTTTTAATATTTTATTTTTTATTTCTTCCTCGTGGAAAACGCTGGACGCCGTGATTGACGCCGGATTACGTCGGTGGATCAATTTTTTGGGTTTTTAAAAAAAATAAAAGATTTGTCAAAAACATGTCTTTTGTTTTTTTTCCAAATAAAGGATTTTAGCAAAAGTCTGGACTTTTTAATAAATATTTTCTTTAAACCTTTAATGAATAGAGGTACCCCTTACTCATTCACAAGGGAGGGGGCGGCATCTTGGTGCCCCCTTAATTAAAGGGGTACCCCAATGCAAATGAGCCCCCTTGCCCACAGACCCCCCACAACCACCGGGTCAGGGTTGTGGGGACGAGGCCCTTGTCCCCATCGGCACAGGGACACCCTCCCAATGTGGCCTGGTCTGGGAGTGAGGGAGGGGCCCACTCGCTCGTCCCCACCCCTTTCCGGCCCTGCCAGGCCTATGCCCGGATCAAGGGTCTGGCATGGAATTTTAGGGGGAACCCCATGTTTTTTCCCCCATTTTTTTTGCCCCCTCCTTAAAATTCCTACCAGACCTTAAGGGCCCGGTATGACTTTTTTTTTTTTTTAGCAATGTTAGTTTTGCTGCAGCAGGTTCTATACATCATACAGATCCCCCACTTCACAGGCAGGTTAAGGGGACCCCCCAGGCACGATCTTTGAAGGAATTTGTTTTCATTTTTATTCTTGCCATTTAAGTGATGTTAAAATCACTGCTCCTTTAAAAACTGTATTTTTTTTTGTCATTGATTCCTGTCCCCCCGGGCAGTACCCGGACCCCCATACATGTCCCCCAGAGCAGTACCCGGACCCCCATACATGTCCCCCAGGGCAGTACCCGGACCCCCAAACATGTCCCCCAGGGCAGTACCCAGACCCCCATACATGTCCCCCAGGGCAGTACCCGGATCCCCATACATGTCCCCCAGGGCAGTACCCGGATCCCCATACATGTCCCCCAGGGCAGTACCCGGACCCCCATGCACCTTTTATGGCCAATCACTTGCATATAAGCCCCCTCAAAAGGGACAATCATTTTTGAACGTTCGACCCCCATTGACTTGCATTAGGTTCGAGTTCGTATTTGAACTTTTCGGCCGTTCGGAAGTTCCAATACGCACCGAACACGGAGTTTTGGGTTTTTAAAAAAAATAAAAGATTTGTCAAAAACATGTCTTTTGTTTTTTTTCCAAATAAAGGATTTTAGCAAAAGTCTGGACTTTTTAATAAATATTTTCTTTAAACCTTTAATGAATAGAGGTACCCCTTACTCATTCACAAGGGAGGGGGCGGCATCTTGGTGCCCCCTTAATTAAAGGGGTACCCCAATGCAAATGAGCCCCCTTGCCCACAGACCCCCCACAACCACCGGGTCAGGGTTGTGGGGACGAGGCCCTTGTCCCCATCGGCACAGGGACACCCTCCCAATGTGGCCTGGTCTGGGAGTGAGGGAGGGGCCCACTCGCTCGTCCCCACCCCTTTCCGGCCCTGCCAGGCCTATGCCCGGATCAAGGGTCTGGCATGGAATTTTAGGGGGAACCCCATGTTTTTTCCCCCATTTTTTTTGCCCCCTCCTTAAAATTCCTACCAGACCTTAAGGGCCCGGTATGACTTTTCTTTTTCTTTAGCAATGTTAGTTTTGCTGCAGCAGGTTCTATACATCATACAGATCCCCCACTTCACAGGCAGGTTAAGGGGACCCCCCAGGCACGATCTTTGAAGGAATTTGTTTTCATTTTTATTCTTGCCATTTAAGTGATGTTAAAATCACTGCTCCTTTAAAAACTGTATTTTTTTTTGTCATTGATTCCTGTCCCCCCGGGCAGTACCCGGACCCCCATACATGTCCCCCAGAGCAGTACCCGGACCCCCATACATGTCCCCCAGGGCAGTACCCGGACCCCCA